ACAGCACCCTGTCCATCAACCGCACGAAGGTGGCCGGGGCATTACACAGCCCAAAACTGAGGACCTTGAACTGCCATAGTCCTCGGCCGGTGCAGAAAGCCGTTTTTGGTCTGGCCTCCGGGGCAAGAGGGACTTGGTAATACCCGCTGCGGAGGTCCAAGGAAGAGAACCACGATGACCCTGCGACCAGGTCCAGGGACTCATCGATGCAGGGAAGGGGGTATGAATCCTTCTTGGTGACCCCGTTCACCGGTCTGTAGTCTGAGCACAGCCGCCAGCCCCCTGTCTTCTTCGGGACCATGACTACCGGTGCTGCCCACGGGCTGTCTGAGGGCTCGATGATGTCTGCCTGCAGCATGCTCTGCACTGCCTCGTCGCAAGCCTGCTGACGAGCCAGGGGGAGTCGGCGCGGGCGACACCTGATGGGCCGCGAGTCCCCCGTATCGATCTCGTGTTCCACCAGATGCGTTCGGCCCACCTCCTCCTCCATGGCGAAACTGCTCTGGAACTCTAGCAGGAGCTGACCCAATTGCTCCTGCTGCTCGGGATTCAGGCCGCCACAGTTCTTCCTCCACACCTCCAATACTGCAGACCGAGCCTCTTCTACCTCCGTCTGGGGTACTTGGGGGGGGGCTGTGCTCGGGTGGCGCAGCCCGGGGGTGACAGGTGGGGAATTGTCCTGAGTGGGCGTCACCGTGGGTACAGGAAGGGAGGGAGGTTTTGCTTCCGTGTCTAGGGTACTCACGGTGGGTGTCGGGGGTCTCCCCGCAGGCTCAGTAGGGTTGTGGACACGGGTTACAGGCCCCCCCCCCGAAACTCACTGTGCCGGCTTGAAGATCCAGGAGGCAGCCTGTCGCCTTCAGAAAGTCCAAACCCAGAATGCACGGGTCCTGTACATCCGCTATCCACACGGGGTGCCGCACTTCCACTCCCCCCACCGACACAGACAGCACTCCTCTTCCTTTCATAGCCGCCAACTCTCCGGTGACTGTGCGCAGACGCACCGCTGTCGGCTCGAACATAGTCCCACTGGGCAACACCTCTGCTCTCACCAGGGTTACTGTAGAGCCTGTGTCCACCAGTGCATCGCAGGGCACCCCCTCCACCTCGACAGGGACATAGCAGGAGTCCCCACCAGCACGGCCCACCGCGACGACAGGCTCCACTCCGGTGCTGTCATATTTTTCAGGAGGGCGTAGAGTCTGGCTCCCCCTGCTGTGTTGTCGGGCTCCCTCCGCGGATGTCTGAGTCGGTGGCAATAAAGCTGTGGTTTGTTTGGGGAGTCTTCGGGCTTGGTTCCACATATCCTCCTCTATGCGGGCCCCCCGTCGTTTCCCTGGCGTCGCCGAGCCTTGGTGCAGTCTCTGGCAAAATGTCCTGGCTGACCACACTCCCAGCAGACTCTGGTGTCTGGTCTGTGTGTTGGCTGCAGAGAAACAGCCCTTATCATCTCTGTCAGCTCGGTAACCCATGCAGGCTTCTCCTCCTCCCTGCAGCTCCTCACCGCCGGCACTCCCCCGCTCCTAGCAGCTCCACTCCACACGTTCTCCCTCTCCACAGCCATCTCCAAGACCGCCTGTAAGGACTGTGGATGCTGCAGCTGTACCTCGACCCTCAAGTCCGCAGGCCGGAGGGCCCTGATGAACTGATCACGTGCCAGCTCACTCTGTACTCCGGGTGGCATGTGTGCATACGCCCGCCGCGTCAGGCTCTCCACGTTGTTAGCCAGTGCACGCAGCGTCTCTCCAAACTCTCTACAGCGGTTACTCAACTCGTTCCGGAGCAGCTCTGGCGGGAAACACTGTCCAAACCGCCTCTTCAAAGCCCCCGCTCGCTTCATAGCTGAGTCGGTCCACAGGGCTAAGTAGTAGCAGACATGAAAGAGCCTCTTCTGTGAGGCACAAAGCTAGCTGTAGTGCTTTAGTCTCTATTGACCACCCCCCGGCATGAGCAAGCAGTTCAAATTGGGCATGGAAAGCCTCCCAGTCTGCCTTACCCGAGAATTTGGGTGTTTTCACTGACCCGGCGGCGGCTGCTGCGGGTTGATGGGCGCCGCCATTGTTGTTTACCTCCAGCTTGGAAATGGCGCGAACTGCCGCAGAAGACGGAGACATTCCCGCGTCTCTAGCCATCCTCACCGCCGACTCTCTCAGGCGCTCTCTCACCTCCCGTGCACTCCTGAACTCCTCTCTCATGTCCTTCGACCACCCGCATGCTCCATCTTCCTCTTCATCACTACTGTGTTCCTGCTTCACTCCCATCTTGCTGAACTTATCCATCCCCGCTAGCTTACCGGCTAGCTCCGTGACGCAGTTACGACTCTCGTCCGGATAGACGTCCCTTGTTCGAAAAGTTCACTTCTGACACCAATGTAACGTTCCCCAAGATGAGTCGGAGACAGGCTTGTAGTTATTAGGCTTTAATAACTAGTAGTTGAAGACAGATGATAACAGGTCAAGTATACTTCGTGGGTTCTACCGCACACTAACTTATTTCCTAAACCAACCACAAGATATAGCACTGTCTACGTCACAACTCCCCGCCCTCCCCCGTCCGCTCCACCAACCACAGGCCCGCACCTCAGCCACCATCACGGTGCAGCTCTATGATTGGCAGAGAGACGGGGGATGCCTAAGTGACACCCTGAGTAGCCTATCAGGATCGCTACAATATTTTCAAAAACATGAGGAAAAACGTGCTGCTTGAATGGTCTTTATTAAGTATAATAATCTAAATATAGGCTACTTAAAGTACCAAAAGTGAAAGTAGTCATTGTGCAAACATATAACATCTAAACATGTGCCGACATAACTCTGTACTAACCAGTGTTGGGACTAACGCGTTACACATTAACGCGTTACTGTAACGCCGTTATTTTGGGCAGTAACTAGTACTTTAACGCAGTGGTTCCCAAACGGTGTGCCGCGGCACACTGGTGTGCCGTGAGGCAAGTCCGGGTGTGCCGTGGGATATTGTGACAACCATACGTTATTATTGCAATATACAACTACACAAAAATAATAATTTTTTTATTTACTATAATATCAGTACTTTGTAGGTTTATATGTACGTAATCTGCGCGACTTGTGCGTCCACATCTCCACGTGCAGTGCTGCATAAACATGGCTGAGTCAGCGATAACTTTCGAGGGGTGGAGGTATGCCCATTATTTTGAGTTCGTCCGAAGAATATACAGGAATGTGACAGTGAGGTGCAAACTGTGTCCAGGCCAGAAGCTGTTATCCACTGCTTTAAACACCACGTCAAACCTCAACAAGCACCTGCAAAGAACACATGCTAAGGTGAAGCTACCGCACAGCTATTTGTTGTTTGTTTATATATCACGTCGTCTGTTCTTCTTCTCTGTTTTCCGGTTGTTGCCTATTTTGAATGACAAATACACACTACCGCCGCCTGCTGGTAAGGAAAGTGATTGCCACTCAGGCATGCGCAAGTTCGTACGTGCTCGGCGAGTAAAGTAACGAGTTACTTTATGTAGATAGTAACGAAGAAGTGTAATATATTACTTTTTTTTAAAGTAATATGTAATATATTAAAAAAAAATAGTAACGACCCCATCTCTGGAGTTGGCGTTCTCTACTCTGATTTACATGAAGAACAACAGGAGGTCACGGGACTCACGGCTCTTTGTTGAACAGGACTTGCGAGTGGCCCTCTCCTCAGTGCCACCAAGGATACAAAAAATCTGCGCACCCCGACAGGCAGATGTATCTCACTAATTTGTAAGTCGGCAAAAATATTTACAATAGCACATGTTTCAATGCTGATTGCTGAAATGTTAATTTTGTGACCTGTCTGGTTTAAATGAGTGTGTTGCTGCTTTGATGAAACCTAATTTGATAAAGTTTCAAATTAATTTCTGAAATATTTCGTTAATAAATATTTCATGAGTAATATAGTTGTCTTTGTCACATTTTATTTTGCATTAGCAAATAATTATGAACATTTACAGATATTTTACATGATATGAGTGATAACACGTGTTATAAGGGCTATTTTGCACAATAGGTGTGCCTTGAGATTTTTACTTGTCCTTTGGTGTGCTTTGGGCACAAAAAGTTTGGGAACCACTGCTCTAACGCATTACTTTTTTAATTCAGTAACTCAGTTACCGTTACTACATGGTGCGTTACTGCGTTCGTTTTTTTATATAGTCAACAGCCAGGCGAACAGAGATGAGTAGCCTACTGTACTTAAGTACAGTACTTGAGTAAATGTACTTGGATACCTCCTGTGTCACATGCGGAGACGCGCTGTGGGCGTGTTTGTGTTGTTTACTAACAAGACTATCATGGCGGCGGCGGAGCTCAAGTCTAGTTTCTCCACCTGGAGATATTCTCACTATTTCACTTTTGTCGAGCACAAAGAAAAGAACGTTTTAGTTAAATGTAAGTTGTGTCTTGGCGGGTCAAAGATCCTATCTACTGCCCAAACCAGTAATTCAAATCTCTTAAAACATCTGCAAAAACAACATGCTGGGACGAAGCTAGTAGCTAAGACCACAGAGACTCAGCCGACGCCACTCCACCTCCACCTAAGCAACAGCGGCTGGATTTTAACCGAGGGACTGCTAGCCAGGGAAAAGTCGATAAAGCCATTGCACGGTATGTTGTAGAACACATGCAGGCTATTGCTACAGTGGAGTCACCCGCTTTCAGGGAGCTAGTTAGCATGATACCATGTCCGGGCGGCACACGGCATATGGGACGGAACACTTTTTCCAACTACCTGGAGAAAGAATATACAAAAATGGAAAGCCAGCTAATATCGATGCAATCCAGATTGCATATAAGGCATGTCAAGTTGATCAACAGATTGTATTATTCTCCAATGCAATAACAGTACTGAAAGGAAGGCTATAAGGGCATTAATGGGAGCAATTTAGTTGAACTAAAACGTTACTTTTCACAGTAACGCATTACTTTTTGTTGTAAGTAACTAGTAAAGTTACTGAGTTACTTATGAAATTAAGTAACTAGTAATGGTAACTAGTTACTGGTTTTCAGTAACTAGCACAACACTGGTACTAACACAACACGAGGTAGGAACCAGGCTGAGGTATGAAACTAAGGTTACAGGCAAACGTTAGATTTTTTCCATCTGAGTCAGTACTGACTTTAACGTAAAACTCTTTTAAATGCTCATACGCCGACGCCGTAGAGTCTGACTCTGAGCGAGTGCTGCTGCAGCTGCTCTCGGCTTCGTCCATACTAATTCATTCATTCATTCAATGCTCGCCGGTTCATTCAATGCTCGCCGGTTCAGCGGTTCCACATTGTTTGTTCCACACTAGATGGCTCATGGGAGATTTTCCAGCGTAGCTCACCGGCCGCCATCTTGCTACAGTCAACAGCTACTCTGGTACGGGCTATGGTAGCTGTTGTAAGGTGAGTGATCTGCACAAAAATACTCTTAAATCGCTGAAATCTTGACTGATTTACAAACGGTTTTGTTTATTATAAACGTTATTAGCATGGCTATGATACAGGATGCTTGGACATGTTGAAATTGCAGCTTTTCTTTGTGTATGACGTGGTTGTATTTATTAGCTGGCTAATAACAAGAGGCTGTGAGTGAGACCTAGTATTACAAAGTTGACCCAGCAACTTTACACCAGTGGGAGAGGCAGAACTGCTCTTTCTTTTCAACATAATTTAAGTTACACATGATTTCTTCCAAGTGGTTGGGCTTGTTAAAAACATCTTACATTTTAGATACATTATGATACAGGAAATTGCTGGCTTTGTGTTTACAGAAGTACCTGACTATGCCTGACTTTTGTGCAGCCTACGGCTGCTCTAATCGCCGCAGTCTGCAAACAAGAACCCGTGGAATCACCTTTCACGTGTAAGATATGACAATATTATGACTATAATTAGGATCATCGTTAATTACTTAGTGGATGTATAAACAAGTCCTGCTACACAGGATCAGTGGGGCTATGTGAGATAATAGTATTGCAAGATTGATGTTGACCCAGCCTCTTTAGAGTAGGCTTGTTTGAGACAAGCAAGACCTGCGCAGACCTGCGCAATTGCGATCAACGTCTTGCTAGTGCGTTGCATGATGGTTAGTCATTTTGTCCGACTTGCTCTGGAGGCCCGCCCACATGAGACTTTGAAATTTCGCGGGACAAAGACGCCCGCAGCCTTGAGAGCGAGGCAAGGCGAGTTGGCGCAGTTGCTCTCCACGGGCTGCGGAAGCGAAATGCTTGATGGGAAACGGCTCGCTGGTATCTCGAGCTGAGCGCTCATTGGTGGTTTTTACCACGTGCTGCTGATGAAACTCTCCAATTGGCTGGCAAAATGTTGTTGTTGTTTTGTGTCAGTTTTACGTCGCCACTTCCATTCACATTTTTCATCATTGTTCCACAATATTTATCATCATGAAATGAATATCTATATATTTTATACTATACTTGCACTGCTTACCGTTTTCATACTTTATATATCTTAGCATATTCATACACACTGTTCATACTGCTCTCAGGCTGCTGTGTATATCTAGTGTATTCACACACACTGTTAATACTGTTCATACTGCTCTCAGGCTGCTGTGTATATCTAGTGTATTCATACCCCTCACTGTTTATTCATCATTCAATTCATTCTATATGTTATTCTGTAGATTGTGTACATTACTTTTCACTTTACTACTTGTTGCACCTGGTTAGAAGCTAAACTGCATTTCGTTGTCTCAGTACCTGTAATATGTGCAATAACAATAAAGTTGAATCTAATCTGGAGCAGGAACAAATGTATTTACTTAGTACATATCTGACATTAACGATTAAACACATGTGTGCATTCTTTATAAATGCAAACCGAGTCAAGCCGACTCCGGAGGTGGCGGTATGCACCTTCAAGCTGTTTGCAATCCGCCAAAAAACCGAGAGAAGAAGAAGAAGACGAAGCCGACTCCGAGCATGGACTCCGAGCTGTCCGACTTCAGGCGAGCTTTTTGAGACCTCCCCCGGCTGCGATCGGCTATTCTCGTCTACTTTCGAGGCGAGCCGCAATGCGTCTCAAACAAGCCTAATATATTGCTACCATTTCTTTACACAATTATGTAATGTTTCTTTTGGACACCTTTTTTATTACTCTTAGTGTGGTAGTCTTATTCTTAAAGTATACATACATACATTACATACATACATACATACATACAATTACCCCAAAAATATGATAATTTCGGTGTGTATTTTTGTCCTTACCCTTAATGTTAAAGGAAAGAAGGGCGGACAATGTTGACAATAATTTATATATCTGGCTACCTTTCTCATGTTTTTAAGGTTTCCCAAAACCGGAGAGAGGAGGAGGCAGTGGGAAGTTGCCCTAAGAAGGGACGGTTTTGTTTCCTCTGGCAGGACGCTGCTCTGCAGTGAGCACTTCAGGAGTGAGGACTTTGACAGGACGGGGCAGACTGTCCGGCTTAAAGATGGTGTTGTGCCAACAGTATTCAATTTCCCAGCTCATCTTCAAAGGGTATGTGTATCATTGGCCAACAAGAATTCAAGGTGTATAAGATTGATTGATAAATATGTGATTAAATGTCACACTTTAGTTTTTCTTTCTGCAAGTTTAGGAATAAATAATGTGTTGTGTATTACAGCACATTTTAAACACTCAAAATGTCTTTATTATGTTTATTTTAGCCGGAAGCAACAAGAAGCACAACCACTTCAAGAAGAGCGGAAGATGAACCTCAGCCTAATGTTGTGAGTATTCTGAATGTGGCCAAGACCAGAGAGATGGTCATTGATTTCAGGAGGGTGAGGACGTCTCTTCTACTCCTGTGCATTCTGGATGTGGCTGTTGTGGAGGACTACAAATACCTGGGAGTGCACTTAGACAACGGACTGAACTGGAGGATCAACACTGATGCTGTGCACAAGAAGAGGATGAGCAGACTCTATTTTCTGAGGAAGCTGAGATACTTCCACGTGTGCAGCAAGATGCTGGAGATCTTCTACCGGTCTGTTGTGGCCAGTGTACTCTTCTTTGCTCCGGTCTGCTGGGGGGGCAGCATCAGAGCCGGTGACACCAGCAGGATCAATAAACTGATTAGGAAAGCTGGGTCTGTCATCGGCATCAAGCTGGACCCCTTTGAAGCTGTGGTGGAGAGGAAGACACTGAACAGGCTGTTGTCCATCATGGATAACCCCACCCATCCTCTCCACCTGCAGCTGGACAGTCAACGGAGCTCCTTCTCCAACAGACTGCTGCAGCTCCGCAGTGCCATAACTCAACAAATCACCTCTGGCTGGAAGATAACTCTCTGCTCCATAGTTTCTCTTGAATATAACCACGTTGTACATTTTACACATATATAATCTATTTAATATTTAACATTAATATTCCATATGCCTTATATTTATGTATATTATATATATAATATCCTGCCAAACTCAACATGTATATTTTCCTCTTTCTTTATTTTCTTTATTTTTCTTGCTTATTTCTAATTCATTGTAAAATGCTTTGTCCCTTATGCTGCTGTAACTAAAAATGTTTTCCCACATTGGGATCAATAAAGTACCATCTTATCTTGTTTTATTTGCATGTGGAATGTCACTAACAAATGAGAGCATCATATGGCTTGTCATATTAAATCCCTTATCTCGGTGGTACCCAGGAAGGTCTATGATGGTGTTACTAGGAGAGCCCAATATAATTTGAGGTGGTACTCTGTGTAAAAGGTTTGAGAACCACTGGCCATCTCACTTGCTCTATGTCACTCATACACTTGAATAAACATGTGCAAACATTGAAACTACACTCAGGGATTGGCAACCTTTACAATCAAAATAGCCATTTTTGTCCAGAGCCTCAAAACATATTTTTGCCTTATAAGGGGAAAAGCCTATTAAGATCAATTTCTTAAAAGTACGCTGAGTTGTGTTTTCTGTTGGAGAATGTAAAAAAAAAATCAGGCTCACAGTATTGATAAGTGAACATTGAATTGTTAAAAAAGTAACTTATTAATTTCCATATTACTATTATTTATATATTCGTATAATTGTGATAAATGAGACAGAACTGGCCTGTCTGTGAGCTCATTTTATGTTGGTTTGGTTCTTCTGATAAAGGTGTGAATATCTAAATAATATACCACCATATGCTATTGTCATTAGTTGTGTCCCTATTCTTCAAGCTAAGGCATTGCTAAATTAACAACTCTTGGCTTACAGAGTGGTAACATGAGACCGATTTTTATATATAAAATATAAATATATTTTTATTTTATAATTTATTTTAAATATTAACAATATAATAAAAATAAATGGAAATATATACACCGGCAAATATTTAATATAAATGCCTTGTGTGTGTGTATAGCTATTGCTTTATCTGCTTAATGTTATTTTCATAAGAAAGTCCATGACTATAAGTATACAGTATCATAACTACATCTTTGATGTTTATAAAAAACCAAACCGTTTGAAAATTGAGCAAGCTATGGTTATTTAAATAGTAAACCATAATGTTATGAATGAGAGCACTACCTGTAGCAAGATGGCGGCCATGTGGCAACGTCGGTCTCCATTGGCCAGCAGCGCGGGTGAGTCATCTAGTGTTTATATATATCTATGGTGACAGGCGCGTACGCGTCACAGGCAGCTTGCTGTTGCCAGATTGGGTGGTTTTCCGCATTATTTTGAAGCCTGTTTACGATGTGTTTTAACTGGGTTTTCGGCTGAAAGGCATATGAAATCTGGCACACTTTTGAACGCCGTTATAATACAGTGCTGAGAATGAACGCACTTTTGAACGCCGTTATACAGCGCTGAGAATGAACGCGTTCTCAATTACGTTCATCTAGCGGAAATACAGTACGTTCAGTTCACTTTCGCCCAAAATATGAACGCGTTCATGAACGATCGTTCATTGAACGCGTTCAGGTACATCACTGGGTTTGCTCAACCATGTTATTTTTGTTTCAACTAAGTAAGCCCACTTCGTTTTAAATGTGAGAACATACAAATGGGTTTTTTAGGTAAATAAATAAAAATATATATATAAAAGAAAGTAGAACACAATTATTTCTTCTAAACAATTTTTAGATTTAAAAAAAATAAAGATCTGAATACTATAATATTTTTGCCCTTAAGTCAGCACTGTCGTTTCTCTAATCCAAACTAAATGCTGGATGCATCAGAAAATAATTTTGCTCTTAAAACCATAGTTTGGGTTTGGGCTCATGTAACTTCCCAGGATTTAAAAAGTATAGCTAGAAATAATCTTTGCCCTGTGCCCTATTAAATACCTAGTGATAGGTTCAGTACAAACTGCATGGTGTTACATAAGACATATTAAATCTGTTTTATTTTTCACATCCCCAGGGGGTTCCTGGGTAGTGGGTGAGAGAGTGAGAGAACACGTGGTGCTGCAGAGTGAGGTTGAGTGCTGACCAGGAGGTGTAAAGAGAGAGGCGACAAGTGGCTCCCGAACTCTGTCAACCCTCTTCTCTAGAAACCCTTTGTTCTGTCAGCACCGGGGGAGGAGACCACGCCGGTGTACTGAAGAGCTTCTGTGTCGGTGTGCTTCATATAAACTCAAAATTATTAATTGAACTGGCAAAGTTACAGGTTCTAACTATTCTCGTCTGCTGTGTCCAGGCCCAGTGAAGAAGCTACACTCGTTTAATGTGGGTAATTTCCTTCTGTGCTTGTAATACAGCTGTGAGAGGGATAACGTTGCCATGGAAATCAGGCTTGTTTCACGTGTGGGCAGAGACTTGAAGTTTGGATACTCAAGACAACCGCCTCTGGTGCAGCTGGTTAAATAAACAGGAGCTTTCACTGAAAATAACACATTATGCATCTAAAGAATCTAGAAATACTGTACATTTAAATCTGAGCAGCACAGACAAAAGACGTATTTTTATTATGCGCTGGTGGTAGTTTTTATTAATTACGCTTTTAATGACATCTTTTAGCCTGATAGCTTGATGGACAACATATTTTCCTTACTTATTTTCGCATTATGCCAGCTACCTTTCCACAAAGTCCCAGTCATATACCAACATTTGGATCTATTGGCCAAAAGCAACTAATATATTGGTAATCCAAAGAGACAACTGTGAATAACCCCAAGAACACTTGTACGTCCATATTTTTCTACAGTATAGTTGAACGCTTTTCAAGGAACACAAGATCACTTGTATAAACAATTGTCTTCCGTTCACCCTTCAACTTTCACATCTATGGCTTTGAGATGTATTTACAAACCACACCATGACGCAGGTCCAGGCACACAAACCGGAGCAGCTTGATTGATTTAAGGAGGAGTAGTGGGTGGTGTAAGCTCACAAATCCCCTCTTTTGGGAGCTGGTCAAGACATTTGGTTTGCTCAAGCCAAGAGAGCTCACAGTCAGACAAAATGTCCTCAATGATGTCTCTGTGATACATAGAGAAGTTTTCAGCAAGAAGGAAAAACACTTATAAAGAGTTGTACTGTTAAAATAAAGGAATACAATTTGGCTTTAGTTGCTGTTTCCAGATTAAAATCAATTAGAGCATGGTGTGCTATTGGAGTTGGAGGAAAATGTTGTCCATTACAAAACTATTTTCAGGGTTTTGACCTTGGCTTGAAAAACTTTAACCAATCGTTGTTGAATCAAAGGATTAACCAAACCACGGCTGGTCCAGGGAGACAAAAAAAGAGTAGAAGATAAAATGGAAGAGAGGGATGAGGAAAGATTGTAAAACAGCAAAACATAGATGATTATAGAGGGACAGTCTGAGGGTTAGATCATCAGGGTACAGGTTGGTTTAAAGAAGTAGTCAGATATTGAAATCGTAGGGCATTAGATCACTGATAATCTATTTGTGAACCCTTGGTGAACTTAAAAGGAATCAATCTCACATACTATAAATATAGAAACAGAGTAATAGCCAAAAATGGGAGAAAACAATCCTCCCTAGGATTGTTTTGCATTACTTTTTGTTTTATATTTAGCCTTTACTTAACCAAGAAAAAAGACTGAAATAGTAAATCTCCTTTTCTAGAGTGTCCTGGCCAAGACCGGCAGCAACACAGATAAACTGGTGCAGACATTAAAAAAAAACACAAGTATTTTAAATGAAACTAATAACATATTAAAGAATTATATGTAATCAAAACAAATTCAAAACATCGACAACAAGATGTGCAAGATTCCAATTGATTTAAATTCCTTTAAATGTGTCCAAATAAAACAGCTCCCAAAGATTTAGCTGGGTACAAACATGGTATGGACTTTAGGAACAGTTACTAAGAATAAATCCTGGAAGCTTGGATAATAATTCCCCTTTTTGGGTATTTTCAAACAATACCAATGGTTTAGTCTACGGGTGGACAAAGGAAGACCTTCCAAAATGAGAGTAATTGAATACTGTGTTCCTCAATCAGAGAAACTAGCAGCAGTGGTGATTTGGCTGTACTCTGCAAGCGCCACATTATGTTGTGTGAATCTTTGCAGTTATACTAACAAGTTCATTTCCTGTGCTTTCCAACCACACACTCATTAATGATCTGAAAGTGATTTATCCGTCTGATTCAGGGTGGGTTTATCTAAAGAATATCCTTCCATGGATGTTACAGTACAATGATTTGTACTATAATGCGGCATTTAGGAAACAGAGTTATAGCTTACATAAAAAAGCCCAACTCTTCGACAACAACATATACAGATATTTGTTTACACAGATTACAGAGTGGGTCAACAAAATTGACAGGAGGTTGTTCTTTGTATAACATCTGTAGAATGTTAAAGTGACGTTTCACAGATGGCTGCTGTACGAACATGTATGTGTGTTGTGTTGTTACAATAATACTAGATAAGCTTTTGCTATACTGTACGTTTGCAGTGGACTGTATTCCCACTGTGTGTGTGTGTGTGTGTGTGTGTGTGTGTGTGTGTGTGTGTGTGTGTGTGTGTGTGTGTGTGTGTGTGTGTGTGTGTGTGTGTGTGTGTGTGTGTGTGTGTGTGTGTGTGTGTGTGTGTGTGTGTGTGTGTGTGTGTTTAAATTGATCAGAGAGAAGGGCTGGCCCTACAACATCATCATGCCTGAGCTGATCAGCTGGGAGCATCATACACACACACACACACAGCAGATGCAGGGTCACTCGATGTCAATACCCTCATTGAGGATAACACGAGCTGACATAACACTCAATGCCATGTGGCTCAGTGTGTGTGTGTTTGTGTTTGTGTTTATGTGTGTAGGTGCATCCCATAATGCTCTGTCTGTGACCAGGAGCTGTGATGATGTCAGACTGAGTCACATGATTTAGACAGGACATTTTCTAAAAGAGCTAGAAAAGAAAAAAAGTATTTCTAAATATCATCCACATTTACTGTTTTAGGAAACAAATGTATTGGATAACACAAAAAATACATCATAAAGCGTCATGAGCTGTATTCCAGAGCATGAATAAATCATACATTCCCTCGTGTTAACTATTAGTAAAGAGCAGAGGAACACTGGGTGTCATGTCTGCTAAAGAGATCCGAGTCCGCACACTAGTGGGTGGAGAGCGAGCGGGTAGGATTACGCGGATCCTCAACGACCCAGCAATAGATTATTTAAGCTTCTATACTCAAAAACCTTTTTTTTCTTAGGCCAGTAGCATGTTA